GGAATGTGTGTAAGGGTAGAAAGTTGAAGGTGAACATAGAAAAGAGTAAGGTGATGAGGGTGTCAAATGATTTGGATAAAGAAAAATTGGATATCAAATTGGGGAGGAGGAGTATGGAAGAAGTGAATGTTTTCAGATACTTGGGAGTTGACATGTCGGCGGATGGATTTATGAAGGATGAGGTTAATCATAGAATTGATGAGGGAAAAAAGGTGAGTGGTGCGTTGAGGTATATGTGGAGTCAAAAACGTTATCTATGGAGGCAAGAAGGGGTATGTATGAAAGTATAGTAGTACCAACACTCTTATATGGGTGTGAAGCTTGGGTGGTAAATGCAGCAGCGAGGAGACGGTTGGAGGCAGTGGAGATGTCCTGTTTAAGGGCAATGTGTGGTGTAAATATTATGCAGAAAATTCGGAGTGTGGAAATTAGGAGAAGGTGTGGAGGTTAATAAAAGTATTTAGTCAGAGGGCAGAGGAGGGGTTGTTTGAGGTGGTTTGGTCATTTAGAGAGAATGGATCAAAGTAGAATGACATGGAAAGCATATAAATCTATAGGGGAAGGAAGGCGGGGTAGGGGTCGTCCTCGAAAAGGGGTTTGGGGAGAGGGGGTAAAGGGGGTTTTGTGGTAAGGGGCTTGGACTTCCAGCAAGCGTGCGTGAGCGTTTAGATAGGAGAAGGGAGACGAATGGTACTTGGGACCTGACACGTTGGAGGTGAGCAGGGAAATATTTAGTAAAGGGATTCGGGGAAACCGGGTTTTTATTTTCATTAGGGGACTTGAGTCCTGGAAATGGGAGTACAATGCCTGCACTTTAAAGGAGGGGTTTGGGATATTGGGCAGTTTGGGGGGATATGTTGTGTATCTTTTAGGGTTATGCTTTAGACTGTTGTATTCTGAGCACCTCTCAAAAACAGTGAAAATTGCAGTGGGGTGAAAGTGTTGAATGATGATGAAAAGTATTTTCTTTTTGGGGTTTTTCTTTTTTTTTTTTGGTCCCCCTGCCTCGGGGGAGAGGGCCGATTTTTGAAAAAAAAAAAAAAAAAAAAATGTTTTATTTAATTTTATATTTTTATATATTTTATAATATAAAATTTTAAATTTTATATTATATATTATATATATATATTATATAAATATATATTATATATAATATATATATATATTAATTTATATATATAATAAATATATATATATATATACAGTGGCCCCCCCGGAAACGATATTTTTTCACTCCAAAGTATTTTCAGGTCCCAAGTATGACCGAATTTGTTCCCAAAAGGAATATTTTGAAGTAGATTAGCCCATTTCAGCCCCCCCAAAGTACACTTAAAAAATGCATTACATAAATAACTTACAAATTGGTCGCATTCAAAAGTGATCGTTATGCGGGGGTCCACTGTATAGTATATTAAAAGATTTTATTTCTTTGAAAAGGGTTACATTTTTAAATTAAAATTTTGATTTAAGAAGTACAAAAAAGCCACTATTTCCCGGACATTTTGGGAAAAACTAATACTAGTATGAAACATAGTAATACTAAATCTAGACAAGAAAAAAAATGGTTACTTTGTAATATATCTTTATTTAAATTAATACTAATGAAAGGTATCATTGGGGTTTTTTTAAAGAAAATACACACAATAGTGCCATATATTGGTTTTTTTTTTTATTGCTTCATTATTTTAATATTAATTAAAAAATTAAATATTTTTGTGAAAACTACATTTTAAAAATTAAAATTAAAAAGTTTTTTAAAATTACATTAATATTGCTCAAGTATAATTTTTTAAAAATACAACAGCCCCGTAGGTCCATTTTGACCTTTATTGTAATTTATCTTAAAATTACAGTTAAGCTCTTTTGGGTGCATTGTTACTTGAAACCTTTTTTAAATTTTATGCTCCAATTATGTAAAAGGCGTAGTGGGCTTTAAAAAGAAACTGAAAAGGGTTCCTTGCTATAGATGCTTTAAATTTAAAGCTTAGTGAAAGCGTGTGTGTAAACCCACCTAAACAAAAATGGGACCCAGCCCCCATTCTACTACCCCCTACCCCCACTCCAGTCCTGGTATGTTTCTTCGGGGATTTTGAGGACCCAGATGATTCATTTTGTGGGGGCAATTTTCTGCTATTTATTTAAAGGGATTATTGTAAAGGTTGTCAGTATAAAAGGTCCTTTTTTATTCAGGATACGTGAAACTAACCGTTGTAATTGTATTTGGAATGCTTTAATTAAAATTTTCAGATGGGAGCACCATGGTGTTTTGGTCAAAGTATTTTCAATAAAAAATGATTCAGCTGTAATTTTGTAAAGTAATTTTTTTTTTTTCCTTTTAAATATTTTATGATTTTTTCATTAAGTCTTTGCAACCTCTAAATTAAGAATGTAAGCTTTTAATCGACATAAAATCTAAAAACGTGTTTCGAAAAAATTTTTAAAACAAGTGTTATTTTTTCTATTTTACAAATTGTATTTTATATTACTGTATGTATATATAGGGGTGGGCAAATGTCCCGCCAAAGGTTTTCAGCAGCCCGCCGAGATCAATCACTACTCTCGATAGAGAAGAGCAAAACTTTGTTCACTTGCTTTTTTGAAAACACGAGCGTTACACAAGCATTATCAGACAAGTACAGTTCCCTTTATAGATGAAAAGTTTGCCCACCCCTGCTATAGGTTTTCATTTCCCGTACCCTTTTTAGTATAATACTGTATTTTAATTAGATTATGGTATTTAGAATTTAAAAATTTGTTTAAAAATATAAAGTAATGTTTTTTGCTTTAAAATTTAAAATTTTTACCATAAAAGAAGGTTGATATGACCGGATGAAAATAATAGGAAAATGAATTGTCATTTCAATTTTATAAGTTTCTTTTATAAACATGGGAATCAACATGTGTCAGGTTTTTAAATAAAATATAAAAATTTTCTTTTAATGATACAATATGTATTTTTTTTTTCAAGGGGTGTTGAGATAGAAGGCATAGGGGCAGTGGGTGACCATACCACAGGTACAGGCCCTATTCATCCCCTACACGAAGAGTTGTGCAGAAGTTCCAATGATGTTTTCTTCCCGCAGAGTCCCCACTTTGAAGATCTTTAGATACGTGCTTTGTCTTTTGGTTTTTTGTGGGGGGATCACAAACTCACGTGAGTAATTCAGCATGTTTTTTTTGTTAAATGATAGTAAAAGTAGGGAGAGGTAATGTTACTGCCTTAGAAAATTTTTTAATTACAATATCTGTAAAAATGGGAGAGGAAAAAGGGTTAAAAGAAGATAGGGAGAAAAAAAAAAAAGGTTTTTGCAATTTTTAAAAGGGAATTTAAAAGGAAAAAAAAAATAAAGGAAAGTAAAAGAAAGGTTTTAGGCAAAGGGCCAGGTAAATTTAAAAGATTAATAAGAAGATAATTAATGGTAAAAAAGAACAAAATAGTTAAGTCAAAAAAAATTGAAGATTTTTTTTAAAAAGAGTACAAAAAAAAGTCCAGGATTTTTTTTTTACGTAAAGGAGGAGATGTATATACCAGGAAAAAAAAATTAAAAATTGAAAAGAAAAAAAGATAAAAGGTGTTTTAAATTTAAGAAAGGAAAAGAAAGAGGTAGAAGAAAAGAGAAGAAGAGAAATGAAAAGAATTTTTTTTAAAATTTTCCCCTTGATTTTTGTTTTTTTTTATGATGGTTTTTTAATTCCTTTAAAAATTTTCCCAACATTGATTTTTCCCCTTTCATTTTATTTTTTTATTTTGATTTTGAAATGTTTTTCATTGGGAAGTTTTTTTAAATTCCCCGGGTTTTTAAAGGTTTTAAACCAAAGGAGGATATGGGGGCTTAAAAAACTAGTTAAAAAGTTTTAAACCCCAAAATTTTGGGAAAATTTTTGGTAAATTTTTTTTTTGTCAATTTCAAGGGAAAAAATTTTCTGATTTTGTTATCAAATTTTCCAGGGAGGGGGAAAAATTTAAAGAAAAGTTTTGGGCTTTTTTTAAAATTCCGTGAACAAAGTGGTAAATTTTTTTTATTCTTTTTTTTGGAAAAAAAAAAATTCACAACAGTTGACCATACTTAGAAAATAATCAGTTCACTAAAGATGTTGACCTTTTAAGTTTACTATGTCATCAGAGCAGATAAGAGCCAAATAGATTGGTAGACAGTAACCATCCAGAGATTTTACTGAACTGTTTTATGAGTGAAACAGAATTTTGTTAAACATTTTACCCTGTCAAGATTACTTGTCTTTTCTGTTTCATGAATAGGTTATATGACAGGTAACTCTTAAAAAGTTCCACATTCATTCAGTATTTACCTACCTTTCATTTCCTATGGTTTTCTTAATGGTGCTTATTCCTGTAAAATGTTCTTACTAAGTTAGGAGTACTGTTTCTAGACCCATCCTCAGGGAAGCATTATTCGAGGAATTGTAAACCAGATAAGAACTGAGAGAGTAGGCTGGTGGGCTTACCATTGAAAAACATATTGTAAAAGTCTTTTAAAGCCCAAGCTATGCTGCTGTATGAAATACTTTGGTTGGAAAGTGTTTATTTGAATAATGTCAATATCAATGGGCATATATACAATAGACTGATAGTTTAGATTATGCTAGAGGATTGAAAGTGCCAGAGTATGGAAAAAGATGTAAATGAACTATTAGAATATTAGTGTGACTTTGTAAATGGTCCAAGTCAGACCGAAACGTCGTCGTAATCTTCTCTCTTCTATGTGCGGGTTATTTGTGTATAGAATATGTTGATGATGAACCATCTGCAGAAGGACAGTTAGAAGAGCTCAGTTCCCAGGCAAGAGGATGAGGTAGAAGAACCTGTACAGAAGCAGTTTACACTGGAAAAATTCCAAAAGAAGTTCCATGCTATTAGTAAATTTGAAAGCTGAAGAGGACTCCTGACACAGCTAGAAGCCTGTTCTGAAGCTGGGTCTGGATCAGCTGATGAAGCCTTAGCATCAGCTGTATAAAATATTGTTAGGTAAACTAGAGTAGAAATGCATTATGGAATAATTGGGCACTTTGGTACAGTCATGAACTTCTTACTATTCAGCATTAATATCAGTACAGGAACCATAGTTATAGCCATCAATATCAGAGCCACAGCCATTCATGTCAGACCATTAGTGCTATATCAGTCTTCTCCACACTGTCATAACAAGCAGCAACCAAAATTTAAGGTAAGATAAACGAACCAAAATTTAAGGTAAGATAAATTCGTTTCTTTTGACTTCTTGCAACCTAATTTAAAATGTTTTGCTTTTTTGGAGGCCATTGGAATGTAACCCAATTTTTCCCATATGTTATTCACTTGAGTTGAACACTCAGTGGGATTACACACCAGTTTTCAGAACATACGTCATACATTACTTAGGGGTCTACCGTATATAGAAAAATAAGATCTTGAAAGCATTAGACTGAAAATTAGAATGATTGTTTTTTGTGAATGATCTCTGATAAACAATGAGAGACAATATATTGAGTGTAAATATAAATGTAAGTCAGATTAAATAATACTGTACTGTGTAAAACACTGAAGATAACACCTCAAGTTTCATTATCCTATAGTTGTTGTATTTATTATGGTATTATTTTCTTGGCAGCTGAAAGTGAAATCAGAGGACATATGGACCATAAAAGGCAGTCAGGGTAACATGTGGTTGCCAGCTAAGGTGGACATTAATACTGCAGACTTGAACTACACCCTGATCTTGGAGGCTGTTCTTGGGGAGGATCACGAGGACTCCTATGTTTCACTTGATGACTTATATTACTACAATATCACCTGTGATAATGTAGATGTTAGTAAATCTGATTCCTTATTCAAATTATCCATTGAATTACAGAAGATACTTTTCATACTTAGTCATTGAATTGTAATTACATCCTCTTAGTAGAAATTTGTATATAGATTCCTGAAAACAACTAATTTCAAAATTTATTTTATTTTAAAAATAATGAAACTATCCTTATAAATATTTTATTATGATCAGCATCGAAACCACTATTCCAGTTTTTATTTTCTTGGGAGGTGCCCACATGGCCCCAAAGAAGTATTGTATTGTAGGAAAGATAAGTGATCCAGTAAATGCTGACTGATAAAAGAAAAAATAGACAGGCAAAAAAAAAAAAAAAAAAAATGTAAATCTGTGGCAGTTGTATAGCATCTTGTCATATTTTAACAGTTGTCATCTATAATAATCATTTAATACACATTGGCAGAGATTCTTATAAGGGCCACATTACGTAAAGTGGTGTCTTGGGATATGAACAGCTCAAAACTTGAACAATTATGTAAGTGTATTTATGTAAGTGCTTTTGTAAGTGTATGTTTGGGGGTCTGCAACGGATTAATCTAATTTACGTTATTCTTTATGGGAACAAACTCATTCGGTATCAGCACTCGAACAGCCTTCTGGAACGAATTAAATTCGTATCCCGAGGTACCACTGTATTTTGTCCTGCTTCACGAGAGCAGGAATTTTGCTGGAACTGATTAATGGCATTTCAGTTAATTTAAATGAGGAAAATTGATTTGATATATGAGCATATTGAATTATGAGCTAGGTCACAGAACTGATTAAATTCATAAGTCTAGGTTCCACTGTATACTGTATATATGTATGTAAAAATGTTTTTATTCACTATGTAGAAACAGTCATGATACTTTAACAGAACATTTAAATTACTGTTCTTATGTGTTTTTTTGCAAGCAAGGCTTTCTTAAGCTCCACTATCAGTGAGTCTAGAAGAATCATAATAAAATTTCTAATAAAGCTTAAACAAAGCTAATTTATATTTTTGGACATCTAATCACAATTGACTGGTACAGGTTGGCTCTGTGACACAACATCAGTGTGATTTTGAGGAACCTGACTTATGTGACTGGGAACAAGTGACTGAGGAAGATAATGCTGATTGGGAATGGGTTAATGGCTCTCAAGGAGGTATGTAGAACACAACTAAGTTAAATATGTTCACTGTATATAAAAATATGAATACATTGACTTAAAAAATATTGGTGGAATGATGAAGTAAAGGGTGTGATAAAAGAGAAGAAGGAAGGTAGCTTATAAGAGGTTTTTATAAAGCAGAAGTGTTATAAGAAGAGCAGAGTATATGGAGAGTAAAAGAAAGATGAAGAGAGTGGTGAGAGAGTGCAAAAGGAGAGCAGATGATAGAGTGAGAGAGACTGTCAAGAAATTTTGCAGAAAATAAGAAAAATTTTTGGAGATAAACAAGTTAAGAAAACCTAGGGAAAGAATGGATTTGTCAGTTAAAAACAGAGTAGAGGAGTTAGTTGATAGGGAGCTGGAGGTATTGGGTAGATGGCGGGAATATTTTGAGGAACTTTTAAATGTCGATGAAGAAAGGGAGCCGGTAATTTCATGCACTGGCCAGGGAGGTATACCATCTTTTAGGAGTGAAGAAAAGCAGGATGTGAGTGTGAGGGAGGTGCATGAGGCATTACTTAGAATGATAGGGGATAAAGCAGCTGGAACTGATGGGATCATGACAGAAATGTTAAAAGCAAGGGGGATATAGTGTTGGAGTGGCTGGTATTTTTGTTTAATAAATGTATTAAAGAGGGGAAGGTACCTAGGGATTGGCAGAGAGCATGTATACAGGAGGGCCCCACTTATACGGCGGGTTAGGTTCCAGGCTACCGCCGTAAAGCGGAAACCGCCGTAAAGTGGAACACCCTTTTTTTCCAATTACAAATGCATACAAACACTAGATAATAAGTTTACACTAACATATATTATGTTAGCAATAGAACCAGGCATCAAAAAACAATAAAAAAGTACAATACACACATAGTGCACTCATTACTTACCTTAAAATATTTATAGTCTTAATCTAGGGTGAGACAAGTAGTATTTATTGTAAGAAATCAAGTGTGGTATGTATGGTAGTCAGCCAGGCTACCATACCAGGCCAACCCACCCACACATACTATTCTATGATATTTAAGCATCCCAGAGCGATAAAATGTATATACAGTTCACTCATTACTTACCTTAAAATATAGGGTGAGATGAGTAGTATTTATTGTAAAATATCAAGTGTGGTATGTATGGTAGTCAGCCAGGCTACCATACCAGGCCAACCCACCCACACATACTATTCTATGATATTTAAGCATCCCAGAGTGATAAAATGTATATACAGTTCACTCATTACTTACCTTAAAATATAGGGTGAGATGAGTAGTATTTATTGTAAAAAATCAAGTGTGGTATGTATGGTAGTCAGCCAGGCTACCATACCAGAGAGAAAGAATGAGTGCATGAGAGAGGACAGGCGCAGAGTTATGTAAACAAACCAGGCGAAGGTAAGTTTTGTAAACAGTGTACACGTCTGGTTTGTGTACAAGTTACATTGTGTACAGGTTGTCTCTACATTGATACGGTAGAATAAATAAAGAAGAACACTCCCATTCTCATGTAACATCATTTTGAGAAGAAATGATGCTCTGAGTGAAGGCAATGGAAGTAAGTCACTCTGACTTTTTTGGGTTATCCTAGGTTCTCTACACATATGTTGTTATGTATTTATGTTATGTATCGTGTTTATTATATAATTTTGAAAAAAATATCACGGATGGATTAATGAAAATGTGTATATTAACGTAATATACAACATTTAATGATACACCGAGCTCAGACAGCGTAAACAAACAAACTGAACAGGTTGTGGACGATCACTCGTCAGGCGAAATAGACGGTATTAATACGTGTCCAGTTTTAGTTCATTCATGTACATTTGTAAGAGTTTGTGAAACTTTTACCTTATAATATTTTTATTATTATTATAATTAAATCACAAAACAAATACTCTTACACTGTGTACAAGTTAGTACAGAATTATAGCTATAAAGTGAAGGCATACGAAAGGAATATTTTTCTACAGTTATCCCTAGTAACAGGTGACGGGCTAGAGAAAACGTAATTCTCCCGACACTTCTACAAACCGTTTGGTAAACATCTCATATATATTTGTATAAATTTTTATACTGTGGGTGCATGTATCATGTTTGTGTGTTACATAATGTGTTTCTTATATAATTTTGAAAAAAATATCATAGATAGATTAAGGGAAATGTCTATATTAACGTAATATGCGACATTAATGCGCCCAAGATATTATTATTATTACTATTATTATTATTATTATTATTATTATTATTATTATTATTATTATTGCATCAAGAGTAGAGAGACTCTTAGTGATTTTAATGTGTACCTACATGCCAGCACAGTGTGTAAGTTTATTTAGGTACAGGTGTACACAAGTTTAATTATCAAGTACAATACATATAAAATATACAATAACTTTAAAACACTTGAAATTTTGGAAAGTTTCCAGACATAATAAGGAGATGTGCTCAGGGAGAATGTAAACAAACTCGGTGGGCCGCTGTGACCGTATTAGAAAGACAGGTGGGGGGAGCCGTATAGCGAGTTTTGGTCATAATTTGAAATGTCCGTATTAGCGGAACGCCGTAAAGCGAAACGCCGTAAAGCGGGGCCCTCCTGTACTTCCTTTATATAAAGGGAAGGGGGACAAAAGAGCCTGTAAAAATTATAGGGGAATAAGTTTACTGGGTATACCAGAAAAAGTGTGCAGTAGGGTTATTATTGAAAGAATAAGAGGTAAGACAGAGAGTCGGATTGCAGATGGGCAAGGAGGTTTTAGAGTGCATAGAGGATGTGTAAATCATGTTTACATTGAAGCATGTATGTGAACAGTGTTTAGGTAAAGGTAGGGAAGTTTTCATTGCATTTATGGATTTAGAAAAGGGATATGATAGAGTGGATAGGGGAGCAATGTGGCAGATGTTGCAAGTATATGGAATAGGTAGTAAGTTACTAGATGCTGTGAAGAGTTTTTATGAGGATAGTGAGGCTCCGGTTAGGGTGTGTACAAGAGAGGGAGATTACTTCCTGGTAAAAGTAGGTCTTAGACAGGGATGTGTAATGTCACCATGGGTGTTTAATATAAACCATACCCCCGGCCGGGATTGAACCCGCGGTCATAGAGTCTCAAAACTCCAGCCCGGCCGGGGGCAATCGTGTCATTACGATTTCTTGAGTCATAGTGGTGTTTAATATATTTATAGATGGGGTTGTAAAAGAAGTTGGGGAGAGGAGTGGGATTAAATTATGAGGAATCAAATACAAAATGGGAGTTGACACAGTTACTTTTTGCTGATGATACTGTGCTTATGGAACATTCTAAAGAAAAGTTGCAAAGGTTAGTGGACGAGTTTGGGAGGGTGTGTAAAGGTAGAAAGTTGAAAGTGAACATTGATAAGAGTAAGGTGAAGAGAGTATCAAATGATTTAGATAAGGAAAAAATGGATATCATACTGGAGAGAAGGAGTATGGAAGAAGTGAATGTTTTCAGATACATTTGGGAGTTGACTTGTCGGCAGATGGGTTTATGAAGGATGAGGTTAACCAAAGAATTGATGAAGGAAAAAAGGTGATTGGTGCTTTACGGTATCTGTGGAGACAAAAAAAATGTTGTCCATAGAGGCAAAGAAGGGAATGTATGAAAGTATAGTGGTACCAACACTCTTATGTGGGTGTGAAGCTTGGGTTGCAAATGCTGCAGCGAAGAGGTGGCTGGAGGCAGTGCAGATGTCCTGTCTAAGGGCCATGTGTGGTGTAAATATTATGCAGAGAATTCTTAGTGTGGAAATTAGGAGGACGTGTGGAGTTATTAAAAGTATTAGTCAGAGAGCTGAAGAGGGGTTGTTGAAGTGGTTTGGTCATTTAGAGAGAGTGGATCAAAGTAGAATGGCTTAAAGAGCAAATAAATCTCTGGGGGAGGCAGCCAGGATAGGGGTCGTCCTCAAAAAGGTTGGAGGGAAGGGGTAAAGAAGGTTTTGTGGGCGATGGGCTTGGACTTTCAGCAGACATGTGTGAGCATGTTAGATAGGAGTGAATGGAGACGAATGGATTTTGGGACCTGACAAGCTGTTGGAGTGTGAGCAGGGTAATATTTAGTTAATGGATTTAGGGAAACTGGTTATTTTTATATAGCCGGACTTGAATACTAGAAATGGAAAGTACAATGCCTGCACTTTAAAGGAGGGGTTTGGGATATTAGCAGTTTGAAGGGGTATGTTATATATGTTTCTAAACTGTTGTATCTGGGTGCCTCTGCAAAGACAGTGATTATGTGTGAGTGAGGTGAAATTGTTGAATGATGATGAAAGTATTTTCTTTTTGGGTCACCCTGCCTTGGTGGGAGACAGCCGACTTGTTAAAAAAAATAGTAATACGTATTAATATTGTATTAACAAAAAGTAACACACTTGTGAGTTTTAGCAATTATCAACCTAGGTTGCAGATGTTATGAATAGAAAAAATATATTGGAATTAAAAAAAGAAAAGCTTATGAACATGGCTGTCTCACCAAGATAGAGTTAACCAAAAAAAAAAAAATCTACTATCATTCATTCAGAAGCTGTCTTGCAAGAAATGACCTGAACTGCAACATATTTAAATAAAATGTTGTTGTGAATTTAGTTCTTAATTGCAGTCAATAACTTTAGAGTTTTCATTTTGTTGGCTGGATAGGAGGAATTCCAAAATAGTAATGGCATTAATTTTTTTTTCAACACATTGGCTATCTCCTACCAAGGCAAGGTGACTCAAAAAAAAGGAAGAAACACTTTCACCATCATTCAACACTTTCACCATCATTCAGACATAATCACTCTATGCAGATGAGGTCAGATACAACAGTTCAGATGTCACTCCAAACAGCCAGTATCCCAGATCCCTTTTATAAAGTGCAGGCATTGTACTCCCCACCTCCAGAACTAGAGTCTAGCTAACCAGTTTCCTTGAATGCCTTCACAAAATATTACCCTGTTCATACTCCAACAGCTCATCAAGTCCCAAAAACCATTTGTCTCCATTCACTTGTATCT